ATATGCGCGGCCGCCTCGCGGCCACGAGCGGCTCGCTAACGCGGGTCAGCCAGAAGGGGTCTTCGCAGGATCCTGCTGGATCTGGTGCCCTGGCTGACCCCCGTCTGCATTGACCCCCGTCTCAAGGCTCCCGAAAATTTTTCGCTATGTTCGGCCTTTGGGGGCCCTCGCTGGGCCTCGGGACAATCAAAAACGGCTCAGGATAAAAAACCAGTCCCCTGGAAGGGGTCCAGACCTCTGGGGGTCGACGCTGTGAAAAAATCTCGACGTCGCAGGCCAGGGAAAGCTGCTCTCTGAACCAGAAGAATGTTCTTAGACCGTAAGCTCGAGATGCCAGGAGTGTTCCAAGAACATTTCGTGCAAACCACAGACGGCTCTTAGAACATGCTGTGGTGGGCCTTTAGGCGGGCTAGGGTGCTTCGCCACCACTCGAGACCACTGGGGATGCCAAACCGATGTCAATCCAAATCTCCGACGATGCGTTTTTTGCACCCCGGCGGGTCTTCATCGATTCCGGCCCTCCCTGGGGACTACGAAAAAAGGGATCCGGGACGAAAAACTACCCCCGGAGAAACGGTCGGGACCTCCGGGGCCGCGGATTGACCAAAACAGGCCCGCGGATGTCAGGGAATGACGCGCCGCCGTGGGAAACCCATCAGCGCGTTACTGCCGAAGAAATACAATCCACTCGGAAAGAAACGAAGGAGTAAGACGCTGACGGGGTCCCAAAGGCAGCATGTCATTGATACTCTCTCCCCTCCCAAGGACACGCCTCAAGAACTTACGTATTCGCAGAACCCCGACCCCTCGCGTCATGAAGCTCCGCCTGCCCCGTTCTGGGCGTGCCGACAGGCTGCGAGGCGTAGGCTGTCCAGTTCCCTACGCTAGTTCTGTAGTTCCCTAGATTTCCTTATAGACACCATCATTTCTGGTTTCACTGTTGCGATGGTTTAAGTCCGCGCGAAGGGAGGTGCCTGAAAACCGCCCGGTCCCAGACCCCCGAATCGCGTGGTCTGAATTCCTGGGGGTCACTGTGAAACATAGAAATGCACCAGATTCGCGCCCCCAGGGCCACAATCCCTTGTAAATTACACCATATTCGCGCTCTCGAGGCTACAATCCTTAATCAGTTACATCAGAATGACGCTCCCCAAGCCACAATCCGTTGTACATTACAGCGCCTCCGCGCTACCCAAGCCACAATCCCTCGTACATTATGCCCGATTCGCGCTCCCGAGGTCACAACCCCTTGAACATGACAACGAATTTGCGGCCGCGAAACCACAACCCTTTGCAAACTACAAATTGCGCCTGATTCGCGCCCCCCAAACATACCACCCTTCGCAAATTACGCCGTCTGCGCGCTTCCGAGGCCCCCCCCGTGTAAATTACAATAAGTTTACGCCCCCTAAGCCACAACCCTTGTAAACTACATCAAGTTCACGCTCCTCAAGCCAACACCCATCTTAGTTTCACCAGCGTCGCGCTCCCGACACCACAACCCATGCGAACACATGCCAGACCTGCGCTCCTCAAGCCACAGACCCTCGAACAATTAACGTCGTTTTCGCGCTCCCGAGATCACAACCCCTTTAGCACATTCTGCTGACAAGCGCCACCCCTTCTCCAAATCCGAAACCACTCCTTTTCTGTACTGTCGTTTCCGGAGAATTCGGCTCGGAGCTCCAGGCCACGAATCTTCGTTAATAGCTAGGCGTGCGCGCTCCCGAAGCCTCGAACCCTCGCAAATTAGAACAGAGGCGCGGTCCCGAGGCCACCACCTCAAATTAAGTATTACAGGCGCGCGCAAGCGGCCAGCCAGCCAGCCAACAAACAGCCCAACTCAATTGCCAATTCGCAGTTAAGACAACCAACCTATCAGCCGAGCTGCCAGCCAGCCAACCGACAGGAGAATGAACCAACCTGCCAACCAAGCGTGGCTATGCAAGCAATCTGAGAGGGGGCTGGTGGCAGAAGGCGAAGCCCTTCAGTCTTCACCGAGACGACCTGAGAGGGCCTCAGGACGAGCACAGGGGGCCCTAAGAGGGCACCCAGATAGCTCAAGAAGGCCCGATATCACCCACGAGTGCGCAAGAGCGCCTCAAGACGGCCCACGATGGCCTCCAGACGGCCCAATAGAGCTCCGAGTTCACCCCCCGCGGGGGCCCCAAGAGACCCACATCAACGATTCCCTTTTATGGTTTCTGCAATACGTTGGCCGTCTCTTATTTTCAAGCTTTCAGCACTCTAAGACAGCCGACGAGGGCTCCGAGATCGTTCCAATTCAACCCAAGAGGCCCTCACGAGGGGTCCAAAACGGCCCAAGAGGGCCTTGAGACGGCCCAGGCGGCCCCAACGAGGGCCCAAGAGAGCCCAAAGAGGAGGCCCAAGAGGCAAACGCGAAGCGGCTGTGGAAGCTTGTCCCCGAACCACTGCCGCCGAGACCTTCACTCCCAAGGGGCCCCAGGCCCCCAAGAAGCTCCAAGAGGCCCCAAAAATCCTTCCAAGAGGGCCCGAGAGGCCTCCAAAGATGCCCCCACGATTCCCCAAGAGGCCCCTCCAGAAACCTGCCACGTCTCAACAGACCTCCTGAGGACTGAATGCCGAAGGCCCCCTGCCCCTACCACACACACACACTGTGCCCTCGACAGACCCCCCAATGACGTCCTGAGCATGATTCAATCGCCAAACAACTCTTCGCCCACACATGGATCACACTCATAGGGAGCGGCCGGAAATGCGCCCCTGGCGTCTTGGATAACGACGGACCATATCTAAATGTTCTGCCTCTGGGGGCCATTTCTCGGCCGCGGGAGCGTCAACTACCAATTCGGGCTGAGAAGCTGATCCTCAGGAAGGGGTTAAGACCTCTGGGGAGCCACGTTATCGGAAATCACGGCGTCAGATATCAGAGTAGCTGGCTAAAGACATCCTGGGCCCTGGCATGTTGCATAACCCCTCCTTGTTGGGGCCGGGAGGGTCTAAATACCATTCTTGAGCCCAGGGTTACTCTGGCCTGCCAGGGCGGTGTATAGATGCCTTCTGCAGAGTACCAGTGCAGTTGGACGATGATCGTTTGATCGCAGCACGCAGCCTCGACATCAGCAGTCACCAGAGAAAACGACAAACGATTAGCTATTGCAAAGACGTCGTGAAATCACGGTGAGCTCCACTAAGCTGCATAGTTCGTCCAATCTATCAGACGAGACCGACATGCGCATCATACCGACTGCGGGATGTTTTTTCCGATCGGGCTTAGTCTGGTGCCTAAAGTCATAGGGGGTGCAATCTTGTCGGAGGCATTGCTGTCTCGAGACCAGCGGCATTGTTGCCTCGAGGCCGCGTTCCGAAGGATGCCCCCCCTCCCAAACGATTGCTCCTCGGGGAGAATCAGAAAACAACAACGCGATGCAATGAGCATCACTGCACATGCAGGGCGAAGCAGTGCAGCGAAATGCAGCACGATGGAACGCAATCAAGTGCAAAGCAGTGCAATCCAAAATATTGCATAACAATACATTGCAAGACAACAAATCGTACATTGCAATTGAAGCCCGACTGCTCTCTGGCGAAACTATTTCACTTATCGTGCCCTGGAAATGATACTCAGAACCCCGACCCCTGGGTAGACGATCCCACCAGGATCCCTATAGGATTCCAATCGGATCCCAATATGAGCCCAATACGATTGCAACAGGAATCCAGTAAGATCCCAGTCGGATCCCAGTAACGAACTAGAATCCCAGTGGGTCGATGAGGACCTAAGCACCTAAGTATGGTTCGTCTTTGATGAGAACGCACTAAGGACTCCTCTTCAACTCCTCTTACTCCCGCCGCCCACCCCCACCCCCATGGAACAACTTCTGATGTATGTATTTGGCATGCTAGGCGACATCGCTCGACGGTCCCACCGAACCTACTTATTAAACCTATGTGGTACTGGTGACTCAGGGGAGAATTAGAATTCTTGACTGCTTCCCACTGTCAAGAAACCGCAGTGCAACGAAATGTGTAAGAACGCAAAAACACTGCAACGCGAGTGAAAGCAATGAGGATCAAAACGACGCAGCACGAATACAACTAAACAACAAAACAAATTACTCAAAGCGAATACTGCAATATGTTATCTGGCCGTAGCGTGTGATATCTGGTGTCCGTTGTCTTGGTGCTCAACTTGACCCCAAACATTTTAAGCTCCAACGTGACATCAATAATGTATTCCGTCTCCCTTTAGCAAACACTGGGCCAACAGACCTCACACTTTTTGCGGTAGGGTCATGGGTGCCGTCAAACAAGCCTGTCCGTCCCTGGCGGCCGAGCAGGGACGGTCCGACGACGCCAGCCTGGTCGTTCGTTTCGAGCCACTGCCAGCCGAGACGCAAAAGAGGATGCCAGCGACGACCGTGGCGTGCAAGGTCAGCGACCCGGCCAGAACTGGCTCGGCGCCATCCTCAAGTAACTCGGAAGCGCAAGCTTGGACTTCTGGATGTCGCCATCAACGCCCTCGTAGCCCTGGATGCTCGTCGCTTACAATCTTGAGACCAGACGCAAGTGTAGCCATAAAACAAGAACGGTAACCCGAGACTCGTCACCATGGGTGCCGTAATTTAGCCATGATCTCAAGACACATCCGCTTACGCCAAACTTGCTTATTCAATGCTGTGGATGATGACTGAAACCACGAAAGACATGGATTTCGTCGATCCGCCTTCAATTCGAACATAATACTCAGAACTGCAAGACTACTAACACGCAAGCGTATAACGAAACATCAGCAATCGGTGATGCGCGAATTGTGAGCTCGAATCTTGAAGCGTAGGTGCCAGAGCTCACAACATAAATTCATGAAAGAAACGTCGGCATTTTGGAATGCTGGCAACATTACGCGAAAGAATCCTGCCGATCCTGCAGAGTCGATCGACCCGTGAGAACCACAGTACGGCTGGACGGTTTCCTGCGAACAAGGTCGTAAAGGTACTTTCCCCTTCGTCGTTGGGCTACTACTGGTGCCTCAAATCTCTGTGTGCCTCGTGCGTGTTCGCCTCCCAGACGGGCTGGCCTGCCCAGAAGTTCAAGAAACGATGCGCCCACGGCACGAAATGGTAAGGACTCGGCAAATGGAGACCCTGAACTCTCTCGTCGCACTGCACTCTCTGCGAGATGCCGTCTTCGAATGTCGCATTTGCTCGAGACTGCCGACGGTAATGCATCATCATATCCGCGTCGCCGTCGGAAATGGTCAAGGCACCACGCTCAACGCTCAGAATGTGGCTTGTGACGGCCTCCACGAGCGGAAGGCAACGTACTGACACGGAAGTGAAGTCCACCAGCCCTGGAAAGAATGCTTTCTCCCAGACGGCACCCCCCGCCTGCAACAGCCACTTGATCGCCCTAATCTTCGACCACACATTTACGGTGCCATAGCCAGGCAGCCAGGCGGCCCATGGCTCGTAGGCCCAGGTGCTGGGCAAACTCTGCCACAGCACTCCCTCCGAGCCAGCGCGGAGCTGATACATCGTGCGGCCCTCGCCCAACGAGCAGAACTCGGCACCGTGCACCGAATACCCCTCGCGAACTGCCTTCAGCACCATCTCGCGCCAGCTGCGCCTGCGCATCTGGCGCATATTGAATACCTGCAGAGGCAGAGCGCCCCAACTTGTGGCCGACCCCGGGGCCCAGAACGTGTAGGCGGTGCTGTAGTGGTCCAGTAAACGCGATGGGTCTTGTAAGAAGATGTAGTCGCCAGCGTCGACCCATATCAAGGCATGGACCTCCTCGTCCTTGACGATGTCCTGCGCGAACAAGCGCAGCCAACCCGCGCTTCCGTATCTCCGCGAGAAGGCCAAGCAATCTGGCGGCACGGTCGCTCGCACCTGCCGCCACGCCTGGTGCAACGTGTCCTCCCTGTACATCCTGAAACGAGCACGCTCCCTCAACCATGGCTCCAATGTTTCCGATAACGACTTCTGCACATCGAACTCTCCGGCAGCATCAACGACTAGGTGGAAGCAGACTGGTCGCTCGCGAGCGAAGACCGGCTACACGCAAGAATTACCCAGTGCGCGGCTTCAGGGGGCTTCGGGGGGAGCCAAATCCGAGCGCGCAAGCCGCTTCGTGCCAATGGCGGGGCACTCCCAGAAGACACTCCGGCAAAAGGTCACTCTTACGTGCAGCCGGGAAGAACAGTGCCGACCGGATCCCTGCGATTGCCTGAGGACAAGAGGATGCCGATACCGCTACTCCCCGGACCTCTCCCCAGGCACGTTCTGACCGGTTCTGAAGAGAACCAGGCCGCGGCGACGAGGGCTCTCCAGGACGAGCAACGGCTCCAGCGGTTTCACAGCCCTGGCCCGAAAACGCCTCCCGAAGGCCGACAACGAACAACAACCACCAATTGACAACATCAGATCAACAAGGACTTGAGTCTCTCTCCTCATCCCTCCACCGCTCTCCATGACGAGCAGCGGTCTCGGCACCTCTCCCACCCCCGAAGACTGCCTTCTGCCCGAAGCTGGGGCTGCCCACGGAGGCCACCATGGCGACGTGCACCTCGCCGCCGGCCGCGGCAGCCGGCGGGCTGGCGCGCGCGGCGCTGGGCGCCAGCTCGCCCCGCTGCGCGCTCGCCCATGCGAGGGCGGTGCCGCGGCTCACCTGAGCGACGAAGAGAAGCAGGTCTTACGCGAGATGGCACAGCGACCTTACGCGGTGGCTTACGCGGGCCGCCCGCGCGGCACGCCACATTGGAGGCGGCGGCGCCTACGCGCGGCCTCGCGCGGGCAGCTGACGCGCGGATGCCCGCGCAAGCGACCTCTGTTTGTCTGCGTCGCGCACCGAATCCCACCAGCCTTCTGGGCGGAGGTTGTTTGGGAAATTCATTCTGCTGCGGTCGGGAATCTGTGCTTAGCGTGTCGCGTCGGTGGCCTCGGCGACGCGCTATGCCATGCAAACGGACAACGTGTCGCTCCGCTCCGCGGAGCGGGAGGCTTCGAAACGGGACATTGACGCTCGGGGGTCAGGACGTGGATAGCGTGTCACGACGAAGCGTGGTGGGCCAAAACCCGCCAGCGATGCGACACGCTAAACCAAATTTCCCGACCGTAACCACCTCCCTCCCCCTTTTGGGACAAGTTCATCACAACTCCTTGTTCATATGCACCCCCTCACCTACCTGACGGGCGGCAAACGCGGGACAATGACGACACCGCGCGGACTGCATGAGGCACAGAATCGCTGAGACCCGAACGGACTTCTTTTTTTTGTTGTCTCCCCCGCGGGCACGGGTCGCACACGCAAGCGGGAAGTGGCCGCGGTCGCCGTGAAGAAACATGAACTAACTACTGGAGCCAGCCGTCTCCATCCCGCCCTCATCCTCAAGGTCTGCGCAGATTCCTTGGGTCGGGCCCGACGACAACAACAGGAGTGGACAGCCCAAGAGGGTGGGCATTGCACGCACTCGCTGGTGAGCCTCGTCGAAGGCATCGCCGATCGGAGCTCCTGGATACACTCGAGCTGCTACCACAAGGAGCGCAAAATCATAACCACGCCCCCTTCCTGGCCTCGGTAGCGCATGGGTGAACTTCGGTCGGAAAGCTCTTTGGCAAAAGTGACCTCTGGTGCGCGGCTTCCGGCGAGCGTCGGGGTGCCACACCCAAGCGTGCAGACCGCTGCTATCGAATCGCATTCAGCGTTCAGGGGGCCCCGAGTAGCTCGCACCCACTCTGGCGAAAAGTCACTCCCCAAACCTCCGATGTCGAGTTTTGTTTCGGGGCGACATGGACCCCAAACCGTCTGAGTAGTTGTTTGACGTTCCTGGGTCTCGGCAGAGTATGGCGAATCATTGTCCGTCGCTATTCCTTATCGCGGCGCAAACAGACCAGCATCTGGAGTCATACCTCGGGCATCTTGCTGGCCTTTCGGGACACTTCGGGCACCCATAGACCCCCCGCCAGGCGCAGCCGCTGCAGACCATCCCGAGGCTGGAAAGCACGTGGGCACTTACGAGGACGCCCGAAGACATCCTCCTCCTCCTGCTCCCTCCGCCTCCGGGCTACTTGCAATCGGCTCGATCACCGACATCCACAGCTGGTCCGCAACGCTCGCGTGGAGGGCGGCCGCGCCCCTCGCGAGGCCGCCGCTGGCGGGCCGCGCGGCGAGCGCGCTCTGGAGCAGCGCGGCCCGGGCGCGAAGCCAACCTTCACTGCCGCCGTCCACCTCGGGAGCACAAGTACAAGCCTCTGACTGCAAACGCTGTGCTGGGGATGCATGGGATGTGTGTGAAACCCATTCGTTGCAAAACGGGCGTTTCTGTTCTGCATGTGTGAGGATACGCGTGTAAACAAAGATCAACCACATGAAAACACTGGATACAACAAACCCGTGCAATCATGCGTTGTTCGAGCTAGCGGGGGCTTCCGTTTACACTTCCATCTGGTCCTGACATGTTCCGAGCGGCGCGTACGAATTCTAGAAGCATGTAGGTGCATATGTTTACGGTCTGGATTGAATACCCAATCAGCTACATTGACATTGCTCTTGCCGATATGTTCGGCTCGACCCTCTGTTTCTCTCACTCCCTTGATCTCGCTCTTTTTGTTGCCTTTGTCGGTCCCTCTCTCTGTATGTGTGTAGATGTATTCACAATGCGCTTCATAGTCGAACATGTGTGTATACATGCACATATATGTACACACTTTTGTTGGTGATATCGAAACAAGCAGCGCGGCGGTCAACATACTGAACCATGCGACATCGTAAACCATGTGCAGCAGCCGAGGTATATGTGCATGTACACATGCATGTCGATCTAGCTGCATCACTATATACATACATATACATACATGAACAGTTGTGCATGTGGACAGCACCCCAAGCGTACATTCTTACCAACACTCACTTACGACAAGGGTGCTCTTCCTTTCCTCCTTCTCCTCCTCGTCTGCTTCTCTCTCTCTATTCCTCGCTCTCTCAATAGTTTCCCTTTCAAATTCTCTGCCTTTCTCTCCCTCTACTTCTCCTTCTCCCCTCCCCTTCTCTCTCTCTCTCTCTCTCGCACTTTTTCTCTCTCTCTCTCTCTCTTTTTCTCTCTCTCTCTCTCTCTCTCTCTCCCCCTCTCTTCCTCTCTCTCTCTCTCTCCCTTTCTCCACTGTCGGCCCGAGTCTCTGCGGGAACACACCGTGGCCAGGACGCGAAATCTTCCGCGCCTTCCGGCCCGGCGAGACCGCGGCCGGGGCCTCCACCCCGGGGCCGCTTCGCGCCTCCTTTTCCCCCCTTTCCGCTCCGCAGCCAGTGGCCTGCGCCGCCGCCCCGGCGTTCGCGCCGCGCGTGGTGACCCCGTCGCGAAGGATTGCAAAACAACCCAAGAATTGCAAAAAAACCTTTGTTTTTTTTGGGGGGGCAATCCTTCGGTTTTTTTGTTGGCAATCCTGGGTTTTTTTTGCAATCCCACTTCCTTGGCCGCGAGACGGGCGAGACTCCGGAGGGAGGCAACCAACCTTCGTGCGGTGCGGCATCCTGGATGAGCATGCTCTTCGCGCCCCACCTCGCGCCCCTCCCACTCCTTGGGGCGCCCTTCAAAATCTCCGAGACGAGCCGCAACGTCTCCGTGGTGAATCGCGCGTGCTATGTGCTCTCGTTCATCCACGAGGCCGCCGCGCCGATGCAGCGGCCATCCGGGCCCCGAATATCAACGGCGGCAACCCGTTGCACCTGATCGCCCGCGTCTTGCCGCTATTCCACAGCACCCTAGGCTACGTCAACACGGCCGATTTCGGCATCCACGACGGCATCGGCACGGCATCCCATGATCCTCGACGGACTGTTCTGCTCCTTCTGCAAGGCCTCGCTCTCCGCGGTCTTCCAAGCCCCGGGCCTCGTTTCTTGGGTTCCAAAGTTTCTCTTCGGTCGCCGCGCCACTTCGGTGGCTGGCCGGGCCATCCGATTCGTCGGCGGCGACTTCCCGCGCGTCGGGGGCGCGCCATCGGCGCCGCAGGCGCGGCGGGCCTTGCCCTCCCAAAACGGGCCGCGCTCGCCCTGCGCGCGGTCATCGTGCAGTTCGTCGCGCTCTTCTTCAACGGCGCGACCCCGCCCGCCGCTGCAGGCCCTGAGATCGCAATCCAAGGCGGGCAACGCGCACCCTCGGGCCGCGCGCTCACCGGCCGCGACCCGCGGGCTGCCCGCCCGCCGCGCGCTCGCAGGCCGTGGCTCGGGGTCAGTGCGCACCGCAATCGACCGCGATCCACGAGCCCACTGCGCGCGCCACCTAGGCCACGGCGCCGCCGTCGTCGCCCGCGCCCGCGCCGCAAATCGCCGCCTAGCCACCTGGTCCCTGCCTCCCGCTGCGGGCGCGGGGCGCGCGGGCCAAGGCGCGCCGCGCGCCGCCCTGGGGGGCCCCCAGGGCGACCCTGTCCCCGCGATCCCTGCCGACCCTAACCTCGAGGTTCAAGTGTGGGCGCGGAGGTCGCTGTCCAGCACTCCAATCAACGGTCCCCGCGGCGTCGTCCGAGGCCGCTCTGGCGACGCAAACCAATGCTGGATCGTCGCGCTTACCAGCGGGTGCATCGCGCCTGCCCCCCGCCAGCCCGATCGTCGCCGATCCAACGCCGCGCCCCGAGGTTCCGCCCCTCGGCGCGCGCGCGCCCCCTGCGAGGCCCCCGCCCAGGGACCCCCCCCCCTTTCCGCCGTCTTCGCGCGCGGCGCGGCAGAGAGGGCGAGGAGGGTGGAAGCGGGGGCGACAATCGCAACCACCGCGCCAACCATGCGCCGTGTGGCCACGCCGCTGGCGCGCCGATCGCAGTCGCGCGCCCGGCTGATGGGGGCACGGGCGACCGCGCCTCCGAATGCCAGTCGAGCGCCGAGTTGAACCGCGCGCGCGCTGAACGAGAACGTTACATGAGAACCGACTTCCTTGCAAATCGCGTTCGCAACGTCTGGCGCCAACTCGTCGCCGCCCTCAATGCCATCGCCGTCGGAGTCACTGACGGGCTCCGCGCCGCCGCGCATCGCGTCGCCCGCGCGCGTGCCAACTGCTCCGCATGCCCCCCAGCGGGCCCGGCCCAGGGCGTGGCTGGGGGGGCGGCGCTCGCAGGCCTGCCTGACCGGGCGGCCCCCCTCGGGGCGGCGCCGTTGAGCGCAGCCCTGGCGCCGCGCCCCAGCGCCCCCCCCCTGGCTTCCTCCCTCGCCCCCGCCAGGCCGCCCTCTTATCCCAATCGACGGCGGAGGAGGAGGCGGGAGCTGGGGCGCGTCGACGACGACGACGACGACTGGCGGACGCGCGGCTCCCAGACGGTCTCTGCCGACCCCGCCGCCGCCGGGCTGACCTCGACGCGCCGTCGCCCCCTCCGTCGCCAGACCGCAGGCCCCCCCCCGAGGCCCCAGGTAGCCAGCGACGGCCCTGCCGAACCTTGCCCGGCCATCGCGCCTGCCTCTCGCGCGCGCTGGCCGCGCGCATGGTTCGCCCCCTGTCTCGCCATTGACCCGCGTCTCCGTCGGCCAGGGTGGTCGCCCTCAGCCGGGCTTGCCTCGCCCAAGGCGCTGGTCCCCCCCCCTGTGTCAGCAGCGCCCGCAGCCCGCGTGGCGCCGTCGCCCAGCGCGCCCCCTGCTGTTGAGGCCGCGCTACAGCTGCTGTTTCATCGCGGCTGGAGCGCCGCTCGCAGGCGCATCCGCTTCTTCCGCATCTCTGACTGCCCCGCTGCATCGGGGGCGCCGCTTCCTTGCCTCACCTGGGCGCTGCCCCCCCTGCGTGAGCCGCGCCCGCAGGCTTTAGCGGTGCTGGCGCCTGTCGCACTCTCTGCCGATGAGGTCGCGCTGCAGCTGCTGCAGCATCGCTTCGGGGGCGCCGCTCGCAGGCGCGCTCTTGCGCTCGCTGCCGCCAGCGCGCAACGCCATGCGTGTTTTTCACTCCGCTCTCTTGTGCGCTGGCCGTCTGACGGTGCGCCCTAAGCCGTCCGCTGTAACATGTGTTATTTCGCGCAGCATGTCCTTCTCTGTGCGTGCGTGCCCGCGCAGGGCCTCCCGCCGCGACCGTAGGCCCCGCTCGTTGCCGTCCCGATTGCCCGCGCGGCCGCGCGTCGTCGGGGCCTCGCCGCGTCGGCGGGGGGCGCCCCGTCGTTCGCGAACCGCGCGGCGGTCAAGCCTGTGCCCCCCGGCCGCCAACCAGGGCGTCGCCAGCCTGGGCCCTGCTCCCGCGCGGGCCGCATGGGGGCGCGGCGCATCGCCTGCTCGCCGCCCCGCCTCCCGCCTCAGTCGCTCAGCGCCGGGGCGCGGTCGTTCCAACGCCCCCCGCGCCCCAGGGCGGGCGCCGCCGCCGAGAGCGCGATGGCGGCCTCGGCTGCCGCGGCGGCTGTCGACGGGGCCCCCGTTTACTTGTCCGATCTCTCTCTCTCTCTCTCTCTCTCTCTCTCTCTCTCTTCCCCATCGCTCTCTCTCTCTCTCTTTCTCTCTCTCTCTCTCTCTCTCTCTCTCTCTCTCTCTCTCTCTCTCTCTCTCTCTCTCCTCTCTCTCTCATATCGTTTTTTCTTATTTGTTGTTCTTCGTCTCTCTCTCTCTCTCTCTCTCTCTCTCTCTCTCTCTCTCTCTCTCTCTCTCTCTCTCGTCTCTGCCCCAGGCGCCCGGCGCTATCCTGGGGGCGCGAGGATTGCGATGTCCGGGGCGCGGGGGCTGTGTGTTTCCATTTGGATGTTTGAAATTTCTGCGTTTGGACTTTCGCGATTCTTCGGGTTCGCGGGGCCACGGCTCCCGGGGGGGCTCCTGGGCCGGGCGCTGGCTGGAGGGGGGCCAACAGAAACGCGGGGAGAAACCGCGCCGCGGAAATGCTGGGCGCCCCGCGCTGGGTTTCCGCGCCCATAACATCGAAGCCCCGGTGTTTTCCTTTGGGTCTCTTGGATTTCTGGCGTGGGGAATGAGGGGGCCATGTGCTCGCATTTTGTGATGTTGTCTGATTATATATATATATATATATATATATATATTCGTGGGGGATTCTGGCGATCGGAGCTCTTGGGGGGGCTCCTGGGTTGGATTCTCGCTGGTGGAAAGCGAACCAGACAAATCCAGACGTCGAAATGAAAACGCAGGATTTCCTCGCTCCTCGTCCCACAAATCTCAGACACCCCAATGCAATCGCGAAGGTTCCGCGCCCCTGACACCGCAAACCGGGCGTTTCCACAATAGTTGCGTTGGGCGCCTGGGAAAGAGAGAGAGAGAGAGAGAGAGAG